TTAGGATGTAGAAAGCCAGAGACCTCACTCCCAACCTGACAAGGAGAAAAGTAATCTATACAATGAGAATTCTCCTGGCGCTCACGAGACAGCTAAGGTCGCAGGAAGTGAAGGGAGGTGATGATCAGATCCCGGCCAGCCCCGTGCGGAGGGACAGGACCCAGAAGCCGGTTCCCCTTTAGCCGCGCAGAGAAAAGGAGGTGGCAGGAAGGCGAGAGAGAGCATCTTACCACATTCTCGATGGCTGATACGGGACAGGGGGCCCTCGGGGACTCCTGGGAGCCCCGGGCACAGTGGAGGCCGTGCTCACCCACGAGCTTTTCCGTGGGCCCTCACTTGGTGTCGCCAGGAAGAGTGTGGACAGGCCAGAGACCAGAGAGCTGCCCTCTCCATGGTACACACACCTGCAAGGCCACTCCCGGCCCCAGGCCCTCCTCCTAGAACACAGCTTCATCCTGAACTTGAAAAAGAGAGCAAAGTAACCGCAAAGTAAGCAAGAAGGAGACAGTCGAGATAAGCGCAGAAACCAAGGACATGGAAAACAAAAACATGGACTAAATCAATGAAAAAAAACAACAGTACTTTGCAAAGATCAACGAAATCAATGACCCTCTCATTGGAACGATGAGAAAAACTAGAGACACAAACTACCACGTTAGGCAGTGAAACGGGAAATCACTCGAGATCCTCAGACTTCAAAAAGAGAAGAAAGGAATAGTACAAAGGTCTTTTGCAAACAAACTTTCTAACTTTAATAAAACAAACAAATTCCTTGAAAGACATACACCGCCAAAACTTACTAAGGGAGAAACAGATGGCTGATTAGTCCTATTGAACCACTAAAGAAACTGAATTCACAACCAAACACCCAGTTACCATGAAGAAGACTCCAGGCCCAATGGTTTTGTCAAACAATTTTCTAGCAAACAATTAAGGAAGAAATAATCCAATCTTACAAACTCGTTCCTAAAATAGAGAGGGGAGCAGCTCCCAACCTGATTCACAAGGTGAGCACCACCCCAATAACAGAGACATTGCAGAAAACAGAGTTACTGACCCATATCCCTACTGATAACCCCAGAGGTCCTGCCAAACGTTAGCAAACCAAAGACAACATGTCCGGGAAGGCTGATACTCAGCAACTGAGCTGTGTTTATCCAGGAGTGCAGGCCTGGCGTATCGTGGGAAAATCAATCAGTTTAATTCACCATGTTAACAAAACAAAAGAGAAAAAAATACTATTGTTTAAATTGATGCAGAAAAAGCAGTAATAAAATTTAGCATCCATGTGATTTATTTAAAAAACCCTCACAAATCAGAGGTGGATGGAAGCTTCATGAATGTGACCGAGGGCACGCTGAGAACCCTTCTGCCTGGCATCCCGCCCACGCCAGACGCACCGCACCCAACCTCTGCTGACATTGCCCCAGGCGTCCTGCAAAAAAGCACATGGCACGAAAAGACAGGTGCAAGCTCCTTTATTCGTAGACAGTTGATGGCATGTGTAGGAAATCCTCAAGAATCTGGGAAGTACCAGAACCAACAAATGAATACAGCATTGTCACAGCATAGAAGCAAATATAAATATTCGTTTGGGTTTTATACATTAGCAACAAACAATTGCAACATGAAAACAATTTTCATTCCATTTACTATGGCGTCTAGAGCCATAGAGTCCTTAGGGATACAGTCACGTAAGATGTGTGAGGCCACTAACTAAAAGCGACACGCCTGCTGAGGACGGATGAAGAAGTCCTAAACAGGGAGAGAATCCACGTCCGTGTGTTGAAAGACTTGATATTATTAAAGTGTCAGTTCTCCCTCCCTTGAATCTGTGGATGTAATTTCTCCCCAGTCATAGCCCCAGCAGACATTTTACATAGAAACTGATCAAAGATCCTAAAACTGACATGGAACTGCCACCCAGAATGGATCTGGGACCATGGAAACGTTCCACTGGGCACAGGCGCAGTCACTGTAGCTGGGGAACAAAATCTTTCATGTGCCTTCATTTTAACACATTTGAATAGCCACGTGCCGGGTGACTTGCTGCACAGGAGGGCGCAGGCTGGAGCACCCCGCGACGGCTGGGAAAGGAGAAGGTGAGCGCAGGAGTCGCCTGGGCCGAGCTCGGGGCTCCCCGCGTGGCACAGTCCTCAGACAGCCGGGGCCGGCGTGGGAAAAACGAATAGACTGATGGACAGAACAGGTTCCAGGAGTAGACCAGGAGCACCTGGCCGCTTGATTTAGGCAAAGTCACCAAAGCAATCCGATGGAGAAACAGGAAGTCCTCCAACCAATGGCTCTAAAACAAGTGGATGCACTTCTGGAGAAAACACATGTCAACCCGACCTCACATCACCCACAGACATCACGGGCTCAGCTGAATCGGAGACCTACGTGCCAGAGTTAAAACTATCCGCTTTTAGAAGGAATTACAGCGTATCGTGGTGTCTTGGGAATTGACAGATGTCTCCAGGACCAGGGCGGGGCTTAGGGAACTTTCTGGGTGGTGATGTTCTCTACCTTGAAAGGGGCTCGGGCTACAGTGGTGCATACATTTCTCAAAACTCACCAAATGGTATATTTAAGACTGATGGTTTCACTACACCAAGCTCATCCCTCCCGATACAAAGAACTGTGTCTAGTTAGTGATGTGCACAGATGCTTAGGCGTAGTGGTGCCTCCGCTGACCACCGTGTCTAACCTCTTCCTTTACATGACAGACACAGGGGTTTACTGTCCCTCCCCCTCGGGGGTGTTCTACGAGGCCTGGCTCTGTCTTGCCATCGCACCCCTGGCTTCCAGAACAGAGCTTGGTGCACAGCAGGCGAGCGGTCATGACTGTGACGTGCACCTGGGATTCACAGCACGTGTCTGCTGTGCTGCCCTTCCGGTCAACCACTGGCCTGCCCCCAGCAGCCTCTGCCAGGCCCTGGACTGGGTGCCGGGGACTGGACAGATCAGACATCAGCTCTGCCCTCAGGACACGGAGTCTGGTGGGGGAGATCAGTGCAAGCTCAGCAAGGACATAAGGTGACGACTTCCCAGGGGCCCCTGGGGAGGGTGTGGGGTTGTAGGAGCACAGCCGAGACCCCTAGCCCAGTCTCGTTGTTCAGCAAGGGTTTCTAAGAGGAGGAATATTTGATTCTCATCTTGACACAGGACTAAGGGTGGGGGAGGAAGGCGGGAGGAGTGAAAAGGTGGTTGTGGTGGGAACAGAGCTGCAGACTGAGAGTTTGGGTGAAGCATTGGGAGGCCTTGGTGATGGAGAAGGTGCGATGGAGATTAGGCGACATCCAGGTTCCTGACTCGGGATAGCCTGGGCAGAGCCACCCTCACTGAGGGGAGATTCCTCCTGGAGCCTTCAGGGCCTCCACCATCAGAGTGGGGGCCGGGTCCTTGTCAACCTCTTAGGAGCAGCCATCTGGGGCCAGCCAGGAGGGCGCCATGTACACAGTAGACTTTCCCAGGACAGCCAGTCGGCCCCAAACCTACCAGTTGCAGAGAAGTCCACTGGTGGGAGGCCAGGGACAGGGCCTCTATGGTGGGAAAGGGCCACCTCCTCCCACAGGGTCCCGCCCTGCACACAACTCACCAACGCAGCTCTGCACCTGTTACCAAGGCTGTGGGCAAACCTTAGAAGTCAGTTTTTAAGTCCATCTGCTGAGAACAGCAAGAAAGCCTGGAGGGGGGAACCTACTAGATATGAATACAAATGATAAACTAAAGTCCTTTCTAAAAGGGAGGTACTGGGAACACTCAATGGATCAGCGGATAAGAGTTGGTTCTGCAAGAGGTCAGGTTTCCAAATGCCGTGCAGGAAACACCGGCCAAGCAGGAAGAGAAAGGGGTCTGTATGGGCTCAGGATGTTTGCTGAAATATTTGGGACAAAGTCAGCTCAGAGCCTCACCTCCCGCTTACACGCCAAATTAATTCCAGAAACTAGTCGATGAGTCCTAGAAGGAAGGGAAGACTTGACTAAAGCAACGAAAGGAGCCCCGCAGGGCAGATGCAGTCTGCAGGCTGCGAGTCCCGTCTCCTCCCCGAGCGGCAGCACCCAGCGCGCAGGCCACTTGCAGGGCCTGGGAGGTGAGCGGTTTTCGGGTACCACTGCAACACCTGCGCCTCCCCTGGTGTCAGGCGAACAGTGGGATTGTTCAGAGGCTCCGAGACGTGTAATCTCACAGGAGAGTAAGTGCAGATGCAGCTGAGGCTCCGTGTCTTCTACCAGGAGAGACACTAAAGACACAGGCAAAAATGCAAAACGATGCCCCTTCTAAATTTTTGTTGTGGGAAGTAGAACTTTCATTAAAATATGTTATTTATGTTGATATCAGTGAATTTGTTTTTAATATTTTAAACCGCCCTGGCAGGTATGGCTCAGCAGTAAGAGGGTCGCCTGCGGACCAAAGAGCCCCGGGTTTGGTTCCTGCTAAGGGCATGTACCTCGGTTGCGCTTTGTCCCTGGCCCCAGTTGGGGTTGTGCAGGTGGCAGCCACTTATGTCTCTCTCACATCGATGTTTCTCTCTCTCTCTTCCTCCTCTCTCCCTCCAGCTCTATCTGAAGATTAATGTAAAAATAGCCTCAGGTGAGGATTAAATATATATATATGTATTTTTTAAACCACCCTCCATTTATTTCATGATATTGACAAAACCTACCTAAGCAAAGCTCTTCGGGGTCCTCAGTATTTAACATGCAGAGAGATTCGAGAACCCAGAGGGCTGGGGTTGGCCTTGGTCCGTGGGCACTCGGGCAGGGCCTGTTTACCGCCCTGGATCCCCGGCACCCGGCACCTCCATCTGTGCAATCTGACAGTTTGCTGGGTGCCCACGCCGGAGGCACGGTTACAGGCGCAATGTCACAGTGTGACAGTGACATGATGCACCTGCCCCACGACCGCCCACCGGGCACGGAGCAGTGAGGAAAGGGCTGGCTCAGACAAGTCCGGGCCGCAGTAAGACACCCACAGAAGGAGAAGCCGGAACCGTGCAGTGACTGAGACACAGAGGTTAGCGTCTTTAATACACACGAGCTCGCACAGACTCAGCGGGCCCAGGAGACAGGGCAAAGGACGGACGACCACAACAGGAAATACAACCGCTTACCGTGAAGATGGTACACTGTGCTGAAGAGCAAAGAAATGCAAACCAAACACAATGCCATTTCTCATTAGCAAATTAACAGAGATTTAGCTAGACGGTAATACTCAGGCTGGCAAGATGGTGAAATGGGCACATTCGTCCTTGCGGGTGGCAGTGTCAATGGGTACATTTCTGAAAACCGCTTTGTCGCGGGTTTCCAGTTCTTTGATTCAAGGGTCCACCCCTGGGAATCTATCCTAAGAAATAACGCGACACCAGGAGGAAGCTTCTGTGCACAAAGACATTCAGCAGGTTAACAGTGAAAATCAGTAAGAGCAGTGACCACCCGTTGGCACTACTGCCCATCTACTTGATGGAGGAGCACCCGGCCACTTCCAAGTAAAGTTAGTAATAATACAGGGGAGAGGGGAGCCTGGAGGGGGAAATACCAAAATATTACATTTCACTTTTCTCTACTTTATTTTCCAAACTTCTATGTGTAGTCTTGCTGACAAGCCCCGGCAGGTTACTCGTTTATTGAAAGGAGTTGGCGATGTTGGAGTACCTGGGGTTCTTCCCGTCTCTACTGCGTTTGTGCCGGGCCAACCGCCCCACACGAGATGTTGGGACCCTGAGGTGACAAGACCAGCTCTGCTCACAGTGGATGGTGGGCCTGCCTTAACCCTGTCCCCTCCCTACACTGGCAAGCTTTGGCCGATGGCCCAAAACAGCCCCACCTGGTGTGATCATCGCTAAGCTTCTAAGCTAAGGCTCCCCGAGCAGAGGTGACCATCTTGCAGCTCCGGGTGCCACGGGAGGGACCTGCAAGGAGCTCTCCCCACCCGGAGCCCCCTCTCGGCGGCGGTCCCAGCACGTGAGTCTTCACACAACCACAGGGGCTGCTCCCCCGGTACGTGCCCGTCTCCCAACTGTCGGCCCTCCTGTGGGCCGTCAGGGTCATGCACCAGCCCAGCGGGGGGTTCTGTCCCCCTTGGCCAGAGCGTCACATCAGGAGTGTCACCCACCCTCGCGGGGTATTGCTGCACTCGTCACGACTCACTCATGCACTTTCCCGGGACCAATGAGATGGGTCTTTGCTTTTTCCTAGAAGACACTCCCCAGGTCACACCGTATTAGGCCAGGGGTTACCCCTCATTCTGAATCCACCTCAAACAATGCTGAGGAAATGAAGCTTACTTACCAGGGGAGCCTTGGGGACCGAGAGCAGTCACAACACAGTCCGACGTCAACACCATGGAAAGCAGAAACTGTCCCTCACCTGCACTGTTTGAAGACTGCCTGCCTGGCCCTTGTATAAAACGCCAGCTCTCGTTTAGAGAACCTATAACCCCACAGTAAAAAGCATCTCTCCTCCCCCACTTCCTTCCCCGGCTTCACCCTGCCAGCCAGCGGCCTAGACCCGGGCCACACGGAGGCGGCTCCCATCCTCTCTCGCTGGGGACTGGGTGTCTTCCACTAGAGCCGACGGGCTCCCAGTGTGGATTCTTCCGAGTCCAATGTGGGGACAACCCTAAGCTCCATCATCTGTGCGTGACCACAGCTGCAGGAAGTCATGGTCACAGCACCAGTCCCAAGCCCAACAACGTAAGCACCAGACAAAACGCAGTCAAATCGCCAAGCAAATGAAGCCAGAGCTGACACGACAACCCACTGCAAAGGGCCCTGGGACATGAGCAGCTGACTGGACAGCGCCATCACAAACGGCATTTCTAGACACACCCGCCAGGCCCGGGGGTTGCTGACAGCTGAGTTCCCGCCCGGCTTCCATGCTGGGTCCCGTCCTGGCTGCGCTGGGCCACACGGAACCTGTAGGTGTGTTACCCTGTAGGCTTCCGTTCCCCAGATGCCACTATACCTGGCAGACAAGCAGAAGAAAACTGAGCACTGAGAGAAAGTGATCAGCACACCCCCATCAGAGGTCCCTCCCCTGGAACTGTGGCTCCGCTGTCCTCCCCCCATTCATGCTTAATGAGCACCATGTCCCACCTGAACAGCCTTGGCTGGAATCCAGGGGGCCTGTGGCCTGTATCCAGGCCGTTGTTCAGCAGGGCGACTGGGCTAACAGTTTGCAGCGCGTGGGTGGCAGTGCTCCGCCATCGGCAACACTGCGCACCCGGGGCCTTGGGGCAGTGGTTGCTTCAGGAACAGTCACTTTCCCAGCATCACCCAAACTCTTCAGAAGTAAGGATGGGCCCCAGGACACAGCCTCTGGGTATCCCGAGATGTGTCTTTAGGTGGGTATGGAGGCTGTTCTGCAGTCCAGCCAGAACAGGGGCAGACGAACCCAGGGTGATACCCCAGCTCCCCCACTGTCCAATATGGCAGGAGCATCACCACCCAAAGGACTGGGCCAAGCCGCATTCCGAAAGTGATTTGTGCGTCCCCCACGAGGAAGCACGAGGCCATCCCCGCTAAGAGGCATGCCTCTGTCCCTCACAATCAGGACCTGCGTGCCAGCCTGCACTGTCCCACTAGGACAGAGGTAGTCTGCAGCTCTTTTCCTTCACAAATGCCACCGGGCCGTGGCTGGGGTTACCAGAGGCCAATCCCCCCATCCCCCACCTTAGTGCTTAAGGACACATCCCGGGGGAATGCGGTCTCCAGCATCAGAGTCCATGCTACCTGGAGACTCTGGAGACCCAGAGATACTGTGGGTGGCTGAGGGGCTGACGGGCAGAGGGAAAGGCCACCTGTCACCTGAATGGAGAAGGGAACAAGTCTCAAGCTAGACAAGGCCCACCACCAAGTGACGTGGGACAGAGGAGGGTAACTGCGCACCAGCAGCGGGCGGTGCTTCCCAGTGGAGCCCAGGGCGGCAGCAGGACCCAGTGCCAGCGCCCAGCCTGCGGTCTCGGCGCGACGTGCAGACGTGCTGCCTCTAGCAGCCTGATGGAGCTGCCTGGTGGTCCCAGGCCAGTCACCTTTGGCAGGAAAGTTCCAGATGCCCACATTCCCTGCCATCAGAACACTGGCAGCTAAAGCCAGGCATTCAGGGAGGTGTGTCCTTCAGGTTTCTCTCTTCACCTGCATTTCCGGGCTTTCCCAGTGGTGACGATGGGTCAGACTGACTGTATGTTCAAGTGCCACGTGAAGCTCGTCCCCAGAAATGTTGATCTCCGCTCCCAGCAGGGATCACTTGGCCACTGAGAACAAGGACAAGTCCCCTGCCTGCTATACCGGGTCCTGGCAGGACTGGTGATCACTTATGGGTGGGTGGCCGGACTCCCCTCTCCAAGTCCCCACATCAAGCCACCAGCCTGGCCAAAGTGCCTTCTGTCACCAGTGAGCTCATCAGTGAGAACAGGGAGACCAGGTGGGGAGCTGCCGTGGGGGGTCTGCAGAAGGCGGAACAGGAGATCTGTGAGCCTTGCCAGCCGGGAAGGGTCAGCCCACATGGTCCGGACCCGTTGTGGAGTCCTGTGACCGAGTAGCAGAGCTGTGGCTGGAGAGATGGAGTTGCAAGCATGGGAGGGACACGTGCACTGAAGTGTGGGTACAAAGCTAGCACATACTACTAGGCAGAGGTGGGCGACAGGGTGCCCAAGAGTATGAAGGAAGATCTCTTTCTGGAACACTCTGGAGAGGCAGGAAGGGGCGTCTTCAAACGAGAACGATGCTGTTGTAGGGACATCTCTTCTACGTGGCAGAGGGTTACTACCTGGTAGCTGCTGATGCAACCAGGGTGGTGGCCGGCTTTAAAGGTTCCGCGCTCGGGTGGGCAGGGCCGGCGCTGGACTAGTCCCGTTGGAGGCGGGGTGCACAGGGCAGGGCCCGGTGCCGGAGGCGGCCAGCTGGCGGCACAGCATCTGGCGTTCCCGCACCGCCCGATTGGAGGCGGAAGTCTTCCTGATTTGGGCCCGCCGGGCGTGCCGCAGGGGAGACTTGTAGGTTCTCCGCAACTCTGCCAGGAAGCCCTGGTAGTTGTTTCGCAAGGGGCTGTCGGGCTGCATGTGCGGGATGGCCCACTTCTCGGCCTCCCCGGTCAGCCGGGACACCAGGAAGGCCACCCGCTCGGCCTCCCCCGGGAAGCGGGAGGCCTGGAAGATCATGAACCTGTCCATCTGCATCAAGAACCCTGCGAGCTGGCCAGGGTCTCCCGAGAAGGGCTCAGGCAGAGAGGTCGGCGGCGTGGTCATGGGCCGGGTCCCGTTGGAGGAAATTGCCGAGATGGGCGGGGTGATCTGCAGCGCGCCCGGGATCCGGGCCCTGGTGCGCAGCAAGGTCAGCTCCGCCATCACGCTCTCCAGCATGTTGGTGAGGTTGGCCTTCTCGGCCCGCAGCGTGGAGGCCTCCCGCCTCAGCGCCGAGTTGGTGAGGCGCAGCGAGGTCAGGGTGTCGATGACGTCATCCATCTGGGCACTGGTAGCCGCCGCAGGGGCTGGGGTGTCAGCTTTCGCGGTCTGGGGTTGGACCATGTTGGCAGAGGTCAGCCAAAGGCTGCACGGATGGGTGGGAGAAGGGGGGTGGGGTAGCCCGGAACCCCGGAACCTGAGGACCTGTGATGCTAAAACTGGGTCAACCCGAGGGAACAGGTGGGGTTCCGGCCTTGGAGCGAAGGCAGGGCGGACGGAGGTGCGCAGCCGCGGCCAGGCAGGTGGTGCAGGCCTTGGGGATCCCCAATTCCGGATCGGCTCCTTTATCGTGAACCTCGCAAGGCCAGGCGGACTGCACCGGCGCCTGGACTTGTTCTGGGGCCTAGAGGATGAGAAAATGTTTTTAACGAGGTTTCGGCTGCAGAGGAGGGGGTCGAAGGAAGGGGTGCGGCGTGGGAAGGCCAGGGCGGCGGGCGCGGGTGGGCGCCCACCTGGGGCGGGACAAAGGGCGGGCGCACCTGCGGCGGCGCGGGCCTGGGCGGCTGCGGGCACGTACCTGGGTCTCGCGGTTCCTCCGCGGCTCCGTCTGCCGCGCGGGCCGCAGCCAAGATGGCCCGATCCGGGGACGCAGGCCGGCGATGAGTCACGGCGGGCGTCCGGAACTGCTTCCCGGTCAGGTCAGGCCGGGGCGGCCGCGGCGGCGGGCGGCGGGCGGCCTCGGCCGGGAGCGGGAGCGGGGCCGGGGTCGCAGGGGAGCGCGGGACGCGGAGCGACCTGGAGGCGGGCGGGGCAGGTGCGGCGGAAGTGGCGGCGGCGAGTGGGCCTCACGCAGGCCCCGCCGGTTGCCATGGAGACCGCCCGCTGGCGCGGAGGCCGAGGCCCCGCCCCGGACGTGGGTAGCGCAGTCCCGCCCCTGGCAGGCAGTCCCGCCCCCCGGGTGCCGCCGCCAATCAGTGACGGCTGTGGTCCCTGTTACCTGTCCTGTAGGTGCTTTCTGTTCCCTTTACGTCTCTCCAAGACCCTTTGCAAAGCTCTCCTTGAATGTTGCAATTACTTCTTTTCAACAAAGCTTGCTTTTCGTATTGTCACCCGAATACGAATTCACTGTGGTATACGTACATCCATTGTAGCAAATTTTGATGTCAGAAAAGTCTAATTGTCTCCGTCTGGGGAGAACAAATAGTAATAGTGCTGTCCTTCCATCCAGTCATTTTTATTTTAATCCTCACCTGAGGACATGCTTAGAGAGAGGAAGGAAGAGAGAGACCGGGAGAGAGGCATTGATGTGAGAGAAAAACATAGATCGATAGCCTTCCGTATGGCCCAACCAGGCATCAAATCCTCAACCCAGGTATGTGCCCTGACCGGGAATCGAACCGGCAACCTTTCCATGCACAGGACTACACTTACCCAACTGAGCCACTCTGGCCAGGCTCCATTCATTTTTAAATTACATATTCTATTATATTCATTTTTGTACCTTCTGAACTGTTTTGTACCCTCAATAACACACTGAATTTTGAGCATTTTCCCATTAAAGATGTTTCCAAAGCCTGGTTTTCAAACAGTGCCTAGAGTTCCACTGAAATCTTGTACCACGATTTGTTTAACCATGCTCGCTGTGATGAATCTCTCATTTCCACGTGGAAGTTTTATAAACCACACCTATGTATAAATCCCAGCCCTCTTTCCTGCCAGTTTCTCCAGGGTAAACTCCAAGGGGTGAAATTACTGGGCCAAAGAATATGAGCTGTTTGACTCGGGACCTGGATGCCTTTCCCGCCTGACCTTGCACAGAGCTGCTTGGCAGGGCTCAGTTGCAGGCTGGGGCACCCACTGTGCCCGTCTTCCGTGGACACAGTCTTCAAGGAGGGGGTGAGCACTGGCAACCACCTGCACTCACTCCTCAGACAAGCCTGGGACAGAGTCCGCTTCGTGCCTTCACCATTTTTGTTTCTATAAAATGGAAATTGGGACACGAGGGTGCAAGTAGTTGGGGAGGACAGTCTAACTGTCCTCACAGCTGTGTGTACCCCAATGTGCCAAAAGATGAACTTTTTATGACCAGCTGGAAACTTAAAAGGCATAAGGCAAGAGAGGAAAGAAAGGAGACAGTGTTTCTTTTTTTTTTTTATCCTCACTCAAGGACATTTTTCCATTTTTTGTTCAGGTAGAGTGGGAGGGGGAGAGAGAGAGAGAAACATCGACGTGAAAGGGACACATTGAGTGGCTGCCACCCGCACGACCAACCAGGGCCGGGGACACACTGCAACCGAGGTATGCGCCCTTAGCGGGAACTGAACCCGGGTCTCTCCAAACCGCAAGTCGATACTCTAACCACTGAGCCAAACCGGCCAGGGCGAGACAGTGTTTCTTTAAACTACCTTCATGAAATCTCCCAGGTCAGATCAGGGCAGGAGCCTCAGTAGTCTTGACTGAGGTCCATGGCTGCAGAAATTATTCCTCGTTCACTCCTGTGAGTCACCCCATCGGTCTCTCTGCCCTAGATGCCAGGGTCACATCTCCTCAGGTGCCTGAATGCTGTGTAGGTGACTAACGTGTCTGTTGCAATTCCAGGTGTGGTTGACACTGTGTCTTGAATTCCCCGGTGCATTGAATATAAGGTGTACCATGATTTCAGAAATGTTAAAACATGCATCGGAAAAAATATACGATTTCTTCACTTCTGGTCAAGACGGTGCAGTAGGAAAACTCACCTACAGAGGTACTCACCTCCTCCCACAATCACATCAAAACTACAACTAAACTACAGAACAATCATCATTCAGAACCACCTGAAATCAAGTTGAATGGAAGTCCTACAACTACAAAATTAAAGAAGCCATATCAAGACTGGTAGGAGGGGCGGAGGCACAGATGGGTTGGTCCCACATCCACGTGTGGTGGATAAAAGTCAGGAGAGGTACCTCGGCTTATGAAGGTCCTCCCTGAGGAGTGAGGGGTCCCTGTTTCACACCAAGCCCCCCAGCCTAGGGTTCCAGCGCCAGGAAGAGAAGTCCCCATAACCTCTGGCTGTAAAAACCAGTGAGAATTGAGACTGAGGCTGCTGGATCCCCAGACAGTTCCTCCTACAGGGCCCTTGCACAGACTTACTTGGACTCAGAGACATACCGGGAAGAACTGAGTTGCTTGGCATCGAGGCGAGAGCTGGAGAGAGCTTTCTCCCAGACAGAAGTGCTGGTGGAGGCCCTTGTTCCTTTGGTGAGCCCTTCCCCCACAGGGCCAGCAGGCAGGCACCATATCTGGGAAGCCAGCAACCTGGCTCACACTGTTTGCCCTGCCCTGGTGATACCCTGAGGCCCTGCTCCACCCAACTTTTGGGCCCACCCAAGCTATTTCTAGTGACTTTACCATAAGAATGGCCTGTCTTGGCTCATGCTTTGGATTTTCCTAAAATCTCTCAAACAAACAGCATCTGGCCTCAGTGAGCCCCATACCTCTCACTAAGTGGCCCCAGTTCTGACATTAGCAGCAGCGAGCCTTGATTCACGGCTTGACCTTGCCCTGGGCACCTCCAAGCCCAGCACAAGAAGCAGCCAACTGCAGATGGCTTTGTAGCTTAGGCCTGGTGGCCCCAGGTGGAACACAGGCAGTGGCTGACCTTGGCCTGTGCCTTCCAGGAGGCCCCAAAGACTGCACACCCAGTGGATAGCTTCAGACATTGTCAGAGTACCACCACCCAACCACCTCCACAAGAGACACACTCAAGATGTGGATTCAGTGGGTACCAGAGCCCTGCTGAAGTAAGTCTTGCTCTGTGTGGTGGGCCCTGCACAGCTGTTCCTCCAAGGTGGTCAGAGGTTGGTGGTCAGTGGGCACAGCCAGTCCTTGCAGCTCATCAGCCTGAGTAAATCCTTTCCATTGACGTGCCAACAGCAATCAAAACTCAATTACAATATAAGGGTATACAGTCCACACAAGGGGTACACCTCAAGTGCCTAGCTGGGGTGATCATGGGTGCTGTGCCACTGGACTCTACAGGACACCTACTACAATAGGCCACCCTACAAAGCCTAGGAGACATAGCAACTCAACCTAATACATAGAAACAAACACAGAGAAGCAGCCAAAATGAGACAAAGAAACATGTCCGAAATGAAAAAAAAACAACAAAACCCCAGGAAAAGAACTAAACAAAATGGAGATAAGCAATCTAACAAATGCAGAGTTCAAAACTCTGGTTATAAGAATACTCAAGGAATTTAGTGAGGACCCTGAGAGCATAAAAAAGACCAGTCAGAAATGAAGGAGGCACTTACTGAAATAAAGAAATAATTTACAGGGAATTAATAGTAGAGCAGGTGAAGCCAAGAAGCAATCGATCAATTTGGAATATAAGCAAGCAGAAAGCACCCAGTAAGCCCTGGCCAGTTTGTTCCGTGGTTAGAGCGTCGGCCCTTGGACTGAAGGATCTCAAGTTTGATTCAGGTCAAGGGCATGTACCTGGGTTGAAGGTTCAATCCCTGGCCAGGGTCGGGGAGGAGGCAACCAATTGATCTCGATCTCTCTCTCTCTCTCTCTCTCTCTCTCTCTCTCTCTCTCTCTTTCTCTCCCCCTCTCTCTTTATTCCTCCCTCTCCCTCCCTTTTTCCCTTCCACTCTCTCTAAAATTGAACGGAAAAACAGTCTCAGGTGAGGATTAACAAAAACAAAAATCAGAAGAGCAAAAAAAATCCAAAAAATGAAGATAGTGTAAGGAGCCTCTGGGACAACGTCAAGCATACCAACATTTGCATCATGGATGTGCCAGATAGAAGAAAGAGAACAAGAAATTGAAAACCTATTTGAAAAAATAATGACAGAAAACATCTCTAACTTGGTAAAGGAAACAGACATTCAAGTCCAGGAAGCACAGAGAGTCCCAAACAAGATGAACCCAAAGAGGCCCACACCAAGACACATCATAATTAAAATGCAAAAGGTTAAAGACAGAGAATCTTAAAAGCAGAAAGAGATAAGCAGTTAGTTACCTACAAAGGTGCTCCCATAAGACTATCAGCTGATGTCTCAAAAGAAGAGACCAGAATGGAGAAGCAGGAAATATTCAAAGTGGTGAAAAGCAAGGACCTACAACCAAGATTATTCTGTCCTGAAAAGCTATTATTTAGAATCGATGGACAGATTTAGAATTTGGAATACAACAACTGATGTCGCTGAATGAAAGAATCGATGGACAGATTTAGAATTTGGAATACAACAACTGATGTCGCTGAATGAAATTGTCGTATCAACCCAGGCGCTGATCATCTTGAAAGTCTCAAATAGCCAAATACAAAGCACAGAAAAGAAATTCAATTGAAAAGTGTACTGAGAACCGAAAAATGGCGGTGGAGTGAACGGAGAACCAAACTGGAATTACAACTATAACACAGACAAATCGACGGGAAAAACCAACAGAAAAGCAGCTTGCGAGGACCATACAACGAGGGACACTGACTCCATCCCGGTAGGATTGCGAAGGCGCGAGACGGGGCTGGGAGCCCACGGTCGGCAGCTCGGCAGCGGCCTCAGCTGTAAGCGGCGCCCTCGGGTCACACTCCCAGGCGGCTCCACAGCGCAGCCGGGACAGAGGCTGAAACAGCCACAGCCACTCACCTTGGGCTCCG